CAATGCATCTATGTTATTGTGGTTTTACAAGTTTACTTTTCTGCAGTCACTTTTGATGTTTGATATTAAATGGTAGACATATTCAGTGCTTTTGAGAATTGAGTTGGATAAAAGCTGCAAGAAATAGAACAATCTGTATTGATACAAAATATAATAAACATATATATCTTCAGCATAGGAAATTATAGAAATGGTTGCAAAATCTAGTGCTTCTCATTAGGGCCTTGACACTTTGGGGCACCTGTCCTCAGAGAGCTACAGTATATGATGCAATCTCATCCAATATTTGGGGAAGAGGTTTCAATGGTTAAAATCACTGTTATTTGGGGATACCTATAAATTTTTATGCTATATTGCTTTATTAGGTTATTTTATAATTTCATTTTGTGTAAGCCACAGGTTTTCTTAAGAGCACAACAGTAAAGTCATTCAGTCAATCAATTTGCGTACATGTAAGCCACACTGATGCTGGAGAAAAAAAATGGATTTGGAAAAAAAAATCTATTTCAAAATTACTTCATAGAAAAGATTATATTTTGAAAGATTCTCTGATTTAAAAAAGGCAACCAGGGACAGGTTGTAATTTTGCCCATTTGCTGGGAACATTTGAACAGCAAAACAGGCCAATACACAGATCACAATTTTCTCCACAAGTGGTATACTATATTTTTTTAAAATATGGTTATTATTTATAAATGGGTTTTTATATATTTATAGTAATTTTATTAAACATTACAATTAAAAAAATAAACTAACACAAACTTAAAAGAAAAAGAAGAAAAAATTAAAAGTGCAGGGGAAAAGGTAAACAAAGAAAAGAAAGAAAAAATAAGAGTATACTAAAGAAAAAGAAAAGAAATATACTGTATGAAGAAATGACTTCCCCCTTCATCACAACTTTAAAAATGTTAATAATGTATCACCTTCTAAAATACAGCAAATGGTCTCTTTTTCCCATATCCCATCTGTTATCTATAAAAAAATCCATAAAGCCTTGTCGTTCAGTCCTAATCAGCAAAAGGTCCATTGAGTCTTACCAGAGAAAACACTATCTATTTTAATCTTGATCAAATAAACCAAGTTTGCATTGCTTCCTTCTACTTTTAACAATCTTGATCTTTAGTTCATTTAAATAATGTCCTGGAGCAGTGGTGGCGAACCTATGGCACGGGTGCCAGAGGCTTCAGCTGGGTTTTATAAAATCTTTTCGCTTTAGGCCTCCACTGCCGTGTACAAAAAAAAAAAAAAAGATTCAATCAATCAGTCAATTTCAACTTCTTGCAGAGAAAAAAAGATCTTGCAAAGTTGGAATTGATTGATTAAACTTTTTGGTCCCACCCAGTCTACTGTTACCACTGCAGCCATGCCCACCCACTGGGCCACACCCACACGGCACCCGACGATGCATAAGTGAGTTTTGGGTTGCAGTTTGGGCATTCGGTCTCTAAAAGGTTCGCCATCCCTGTCCTAGAGTTTAACTTAATTTCATTTTTCTTCGTCCCTTCTCAAAAAATTCTTCAAAGCTTTAACAAGCCACTTTTGTAAATCCAATATGGGAAAGTTATCCAAGTCACTCTTTTGGTTTGTTATTTATATATTCCTTTAAACAGTGGTGGGATTCAAATATGTGAACAACCAGTTCTCTGTGTGGATGCCACTTCCGGAAGTCCATTTTGGGCCTGGGCAACAAAAAATGAGCTACTGATTCTGCCTAACTGGCTGAATGCCACCACTGCCTTTAAATTATTAGAACATCAGCCAGTTTGTTTTGTATATCCATTCTAAGCTCTTTTTCCAGATTATTCTTGTAGCTTGTCATTTTTAGATCCATTTTCAAATCAATCTCAGTCTTGTCTGATAAACTTGTTCCTGTTCCATACCATCTTTTAAACACAGTTGATCTATAGACCCTAATCCTCTTAAAGTTAAATTCTGGGTCCATTGTTTAAAAATATCTTTCAACATGTGCAATGTTTAAATATTTTGTTCCATTGTGTATATGGAGCTGTAAGTCAAATTTAAGTGCTCTTCTCCTTTATTTGTAATCTTTAATTCCTTCTGGTTCTCTCTAGTGTCCAACCTTCAAGTCCCATCCTATCATTTTTGGGGGAAAGATACTTACAAATAATTCCAACATCTTACTTCAAATCCATTTGGATGGTTAGCCTGTTTGTAACATTCCAAAATAATCATCCTTTTGCTGTTTATTCCAAAGAATTTTAAGTCCTTAAATTTATGTATATTTTTTTATATCTCACCCTTACTGTTTTTTATAAATAACACAAGATAATAAAGATACCGAATACTTTTGTTCCTATTTTCCCCACAACAACAACCTTAAACTTACACTTTTTTTTTTTAGAAGATGGAAACAAACCAAGCTCTAGGAAAGGCATTCATTCTTAAAATTCATCGCCTAGCCCAGGGGTAGGCAACCTTGGCTCTTTTATGACTCATGGACTTATGACACAGGTTTGCCTTACATTTGAGATGGCAATCTGAAGCTTCTGGTCAGCTTCATATTAATTGGGCTAGCCCAGCTATGCTGGCTCAGGAATTCTGGGAGTTGAAGTCCATGAGTCATAAAAGAGCCAAGGTTGCCTACCCCTTGGCTAACCTAATTAATATGAAGCTGACCAGAAGCTTCAGGCTGCCATCTCAAATGTAAGGCAAACCTGTGCCTCTAACACAATCTAAATAAGCAGTAGGTGTGAACTTAAATGGACTCCAGAAGATGGTAGAGGACAGGAAGACCTGGAGGAACGTTGTCCATGGGGTCGCAATGGGTCGGACACGACTTCGCAATTAACAACAACAAAGCAAGTAAACCTTTTTTATAACACACAGTTTATCACTATCATTTGCTATTTACTTCTGCTGTAAATAAAGACCAAGGGACCATCCATACAAACAAATTCATATATCCCCACAAGGTCATAGATCTTCAACAATTCCAGCAGTTAATTGGCCACCATGTTGTCTCTGGAATGTCAGGGCCAGGCAGATTCCCATTGACTGGAATTTCCTATCTCATCCTACCTTCCGCCCTTGAGATCTACTTCCTCCATGGGGCTTTGGTGTCTTCTTCCCTCCCCCATACTTCCCCACTAAACAAGAAAACTCCTTTGCCTTTATTGAAGGCAAAGATGCTTTTCATCATTCCTTTAACATGACAAGTTAATATGATATGGCACTGACGCCTCTGAAGAAATGCCTTTTCTTCTCAGGTTGTAAAAGCAGGGACTTTAAAATGCTTCGTAACTGTTACCCACAGGTGTCAGAATCATTTCCACTTTTTAAAACCCTATGTGATCTTTTATATTGCAGGTTCCTTCCCCCTAGATCTGCAAGAGAACCTTTTCTGGGGCCCTATAGCATTTAGTAGAGCGAATTGGTTCAAATCTGCCCTCTTGGTAGCTTCAGAGAAAGTCCTAAGAACCATTAAAGGTTTTTAACCAGCCAGATGACACCTCCACCTCCCACCCTCCATCCTATAGCAAATCCAAGTCACCTACCTCTTACGATGCTCAGTGACAGCTTGAAGTTGTTTTTCAGCCGAGGGTCATCAACCAGCTCCACCAGCTGGAAAAGTTTGTTGAGCTGCACTTTGATCCCCTCATACCTTTTGGCCTCAGCCCGGATAGCTGCAGAGATCAACTGCCTTTGCAAATTCATGGTGTATCTGTTGTTGGCAGAAGTGACTCAGGATCTCAGCCCATGGTGCAACCTCCTGTCTTTTCTTCACCAGGGAAGTTAAGCAGGCCCCAGGCAACCTTAAAGTGCCCACTTCACTCTCATGAACCTGATCGGGGTTTTTTTTCCCCCACACTCTCTCTGTCGGTTGCACTTCCTGAGAAGAACGTCACATTTCAAAGCCACTGCGCTTTGAATCACCCCATCCCTATCTGATTTTGACACTAGGTAAGGGCGTAGCTATGTTAAAAAGAAAAAAAAAAAAAACCTAGCACAGCCAGTGTCTTCTCAGCCAAGGCCCGCTAATCATCCTCTAGGATCCCAGGCTACATACTCCAGAGCAGGCGGGACAGGATTCACAGGTGCTGGAACTCTGGCTCCCAAAAGCTATAATTACTGCAAAGTATTTTTGGCAGCTACATCTAGATAAACAGAGAACCATGTGGAGGCACACAGCTACCCTCACCACCCAACGAGATAGACACACCCATGGACATATCTTGCCCATGAGGTATAGTCTGCCCCCACAGGAAGCAGTAAGGAGAAATCAAAGCCAAATAAGAAGACAATAAGACAATAAGAGTAAACACGACAGACTATATAAAATTATGTATACAGTAGAGCAGGTAACACTGCTGGGGAAAAGTTTTCCCTGCCTCACTGACAAGGTCAGAACCTTAACTCATCGCCTGAAACTAAATGCAGGGAGGTTTAAGATCAAAAGGAGGAAACTGTTTTTTTTAAATAGTACACAATTAAATTGAAATTTGCAATCAGCAATTGGGATAATGGCAGCCAGTTTGGATGGATTTAAAAAGAGGCCAGTACTAGACAGGCTTATGGAGTATCAGGCTATTAATACTTCCTTATATTGATTTCCTATAATTTCCTACTTTCTGAAACCTGCCTTAAATAAAGGTTCCCAGGAGATGATGATGGAAGTTTTCAGCCTCCAATGAATGGGTATATTTCCCAAATGTATTCATTTGGCCAGATTGTGACATAGATTGGCGGATTCAATGGGACTATGGCCCAATCCAGCATGGCTTTGGGGTACTATGGGAAGATCAAAGGACAATATAAGAAAATGGGGTTTTCCTAGAGAAGACATTCTGTGTGACTATGGAGAAGAACATCTCATATATGCTGCAGTGCCTACACGTCCTTCAACGTGTATAGAGGAAGACCTCACGCTGGTGAGAGAAAATGCTAGCAATGTGGCCTAATACTAGGCCAATGTCATTTAATGCTAATCCTATTTTTTTTACATACCTTTTTCACATGCTCTATTTCTGTGCAGGATCCAATCTGGGTCAGTCGCTGGGACCAAAGGTTTAGTCTTCCAAGCTTTGAGATTCCTGCTGAAGCCCATCTTCAGAGAACTTCTCTCTAGCAGAGTATGTACTTTGGACTATTCTCTGTGCATGGTATTTATATGGTGGCTATTGTGGGTGGCTTTTCCGATGTCCATTGGAGTGTTGATGGCTGGCTATTAAGTCATTGGCTGCTGTTTCCTTGTACTACCAAGCCTTGTCTCCTAAGCACTTGATAAACTGATGGTAAATCAACACTCCTATTGACTGACAAGGGGCCTGTTTCCCAAGCTTCAATCACTCCCCTGGCTGTTTTTGTGCCTGCTCGTCCAACAATCTTAGTAGCTGTAAAATTGAATGTATGTCCCTGTTTACTGCAAATGTGAGGCTACCAATGAATTCAGGTCTCATCACCGCTCTCTTGTGTTCTTGCAATCTGGTGGTTAGCTTCTTCTCTGTCTGTCCTACATAGTCACAGGGGCAATCCATGCAGGGGATCCGATAGATTGCATTGGAAGTATCTCCCATCTCCAAGTAACGCATAATTTGTCCTCATATGGCATTGTATATTTATATGACCTATTTGATACCTGTTTTACTTGCTCAGTGTTGAATGTTATATGTCTATAATCTGACGGTGCTTCCAACACGAATAAAGAAAGTACAGTATTCTAAGGAAAGCTCATCTGACCAATCCAAAGGTAAAAGGTGAATTATCAAGTATAGACAGAACCATTTTTTTGTGTGGAAAATTTCATGCCCAAAGGATTGCAAGCCAACCACAAGTGGAGTTCAAATCAAGAGTGGGCAGGATTGCTTTCTATTTTTATTATTCTTGGCGTAATGGAGATAGGGGTGAGAATAGACCACTGGCTATATTCCTTGTGCTCTTCTACTAGTTGCATACAGGAAATACAAGTCAATTCTGTATCCACAATGACTGTGCCTGTTGTAGGAATGACTGTGCTTATATGCCAAGGACGGCTACATGAAAATTTATTCATTTATTTGTTAAATTTATCAAGAACTGAGCCACAGAGCAGATTTGCCAGATGTGTGAGCTTGTCCTTTGGAGGACATGTTAAAAATTAGGCATGAGCTCTGATGGCCTGTTCCTGCTTTAGAGCCCTTGAAAATATTAACAGCTGTAGCTTTTTGCATTGTACCATCCACGCTTGATCTATCTGTGTGTCAGGTAAAAATTTATCGGTCATAAACATTTATTTATTCTTTAGTTTATATGCTGGCTATTTCACTGTCCAAAGTAAGCCTGGGTAGCTTATATAGTCATATCATTTTACAGAACCAGGCCTTGAGAAAGCATGATGATGAACTGCTGTCAACTAAGGATGGAGAAGCTAGGTGTAAATATTCTCCTGCTTTCAGTCTTCCTTGCTCTTTGTCATTAAAATTAGCTAACTTAGGGAGGTATCGTTCTGACAGTTTGCTTCAGTGTAAATGTCAAGGGACACCTTTTCCTGAAGCCAGCTTTCAGTTCAGAGTTGATCCCTAGAGCCAGAGTGTGAGCCAGCAACAAACAACTGGTATGGCTGGACAGATGCCCAGGAAGGTGTGAAAAGCCCAGAGCTTAGCTTTAGAAAATGCCAATTCCATCCCATGTCCTCTGCTGCTCTTCCAACGGCCTCGGGAGATCGGTGTCATTGATGAAAAAATTAGGCCTTTTAAGCAGATGGCAGGAGGTGAGCTGCGGCTTGTTCAAGATCACAAAACCAAAGAATTGTCCTTGTAAATAGTATATGAAGAGAACTTTTTATTTATTTATTTGGTATCAGGTCAAGTGACTCTTTATCAAATGCTTCCAGTGGGTTTCCCCAAATGCAGTTTGGAGACATTTGTTATCCCTTTAAATCTACCATTGCAGGAGGTGACAAGACAGAGCTGTGTCATTAATTTTCTGGGCGGAAGGAGAAGATAAGAAAGCGATGGGTTGACTGGGCTATTATTACAGCAGGTAAGAAAGGAGATATCAGGGATTTTAGTTTTTCAGTCTTACAGGGAAATTTAATGTTGCAAAACAGATATCCAGGGGTGCTACCTGGTAATCATAAACACATTCAAGCCAGAAGACCTTTGAATTGACTATGGCACCTATTGATATGAAACAGGGCTACTAGAGAATAGTTCTCTCTAGAGTCTAGACAGATAAGATCAAGAACAAATACCTGTTAAGCCAGTCTTGCCAATGAACCACATACACACACCTTGTTCTGAGTAAAATTTTATACTCCGGATTTGACAAGGTTGCATATGAATTTAGATTACAAATTACTTTGCAATTCAAATATACTAAGCCAGCCTTACTGCTCATATTGGAGAGTAGGTCCCTCAAGCTTCTGCCCTCAAACCCTGCTGTGCTGATGCCACCAATGTTGCCCCATTTCCTGAAAAATGAACAGCAACAATAAAAACAGAATAACAGAGTTGGAAGGGACTTTGGATATCTTCTAGTCCAACCTCCTGCTCAAGCAGGAGATCCTATTCCAGGGGTTTCAAACCTGGCCCTTTTATGAACTTGTGGACTTCAACTCCCAGAATTCCTCAGCCAGGCACGCTGGCTGAGGAATTCTGGGAGTTGAAGTCCAGAAGTCATAAAAGGGCCAAGTTTGAAGAACCCAGCCCCATACCATGTCAGACAAATGACTGTCCAGTCTCTTCTTTACAACCTGCAATGATGGTGCACTCACAACTTCTGAAAACAAGCTATTCCACTGATTAATTGTTCTCACTGTCATTGATTCGCATTGATTCTCTTTCTGGTGCCTGTTGTAGTGCTATCTGCATTACTGTCTGTTAAGGAGGATTCAGACCATCATTTTTGCTTTATTCATTTTACCAGCAACATTTTTTTTCTTATTCAGCTTCGCTAATAGATGGGAGGGAGGAGGCTGGCTCCTTAGTGCAGCTGTATCGTATTAGTAATTGCCATATTTTCTTCAGGACTGTTAGATATTGCTGAGGTAGTACAATCAGCCTCCCTTCACAGCTGGGAGAAAGGCAGAGCCTGAAAAGGTCTTGCTAGAACCCCAAATTACAAGGAAAGATTTATCTTTTACTCCCAACGGACTTGGTTTTTTCCTTGAAGACGTTTCGCTTCTCATCCAAGAAGCCTCTTCAGTTCTGAGCAAATGGTGGAGAATGGAAGGATTTGTATTTCTTGCAATCATCTGGTCTTTAGCACTCTTTCTGAGAGTCATTGAGACCACTTAGAGATTTATCTGTGCCCTCAGGGTCACCTGAATCTTTTAATCTGAGTCTTTGGGTGGGGTTTTACAAAGGCTAGTCAAGAAAATGCAATACAATGGAAGTTAGAGAAGAGATAGGAAGTGTGGCACCATCCCCATGCTTCCTTTGCTGTCCTGGTGTATTTATAGATCAACTAGGCAAAATGCAGAAGCGCTATATAAAGCCAGTCCCCAACTCTTACAGGCATACAAGAAGTCTTTGACTTATGACTGTAATTTATTACAGAATTATGGTCATGGCAGTCATTAAGTAGATCACCATGTCCCCACGTGGGATTTCACTATCTTTTTTGCAATGATCATCAAGCAAATACTGCAGTCATTAAGCAAGTCTATTTTCTCCACTGAAAGGGTTTTGTGTTTTTTTTTTTGCCAGAAATCGGAAGTAGAAGCCGGAAACTGTCAAAAACCTCTGAAAAATATGGTTCCGTGTTGGCAGGACACTGCAAAGGGCCATGGATGTGAGCCAGTTGCTAAGTGCCCAAATTGTTAAACAAATGGTACTTTTATTCTTTAGCTTTCCTAAAACAAAAATAGCAGTTGATTTTAAAAATGCAGAATTCATGAAAGGGAAGGTATGCGAAATATAACATCTCCACTCATATTTATGGACTGCTTACATGCCTCCAATTTATCTCTTACATGTTTCACACCATGGATATGACTTACAGTGTACTCCGTTCTAAGCATTACCAATACTGTTGCATGAACATTAGGCCTTATGCATGATGTGACAATGATTCAGAAGTGTTTCAGGTTTAATGCAAGCACAACATTGCTCTGTTGTCTTTAAGCAGCCCTCCCTCTTTTTTCTTGGAAGCCTATAAAACAAAACAAAAAAACCCCACCCTTGTTTATTTATTTTATTTATTTGTAGTCTGCCTTTATTATTTTTACGAATATCTCAGGGCATCAAACATATCCAACACACCTTCCTCCTCCTATTTTCCCCACAACAACAACAACTCTGTGAGATGGGTTGGGTTGAGAGTGACTGGTCCAAAGTCACCCAGCCGGCTTTCATGGCTAAGGTAGGACTTGAACTCACGCTCTCCAGCTTTCTAACCTGGTGTCTTAACCAACAGACCACAAACTGACTCTCTTTTCCTAGCCTTCCACAGAAGGCTGAAAAAGGGGGCAGGCTGCTTTGATGTATGGCATAGAATTAGGCTTGTGTGAGGCCCAAAGATCATCATCTGAACTGTTTTCAACTGTTTTTCAAAAGGCAACTGGACTTTATTGTTTTTCCTTGAAGACGTTTCTCTTCTCTTCCAAGAAGCTTCTTCGGTTCTGACTCAATGGTGGAGAAGGGAAGGATTTCTATGCTTTGCAGTCATCCGGTCATAAGCACTCTTTCAGCCATGACCTGGATGACTGAGAATCTCCGCAGCCATTCAAAGTGGCCTCTTCCTCATGCCCAGCAACACTTGCTTATCCCCTTTTGGACAGTGACTTATCTTGTAAATAGAATCTACAGGAGCTATTTTGCAAAAAATGCCTCAGTTACACTCAGAGGACCCACAAAGCTGTGTGCTTGTCGTGTGTTCATGATTTTTTTTTTCATTCAACCTGCTCTCCCAAAGTCAAACAGAATGCTTGGAACTAGTTTCCAGCAAAAGTATGTAGAAGCAGGGCTAATCCAGGGCATTAGGATGCCCTGCCTCCCGCAAGTCTACAAAAATTGATGCTTCTGACCAAGAAATCTTACTTCAACAATGAGAAGCTGCATGTACACCAAACTCAGTCTTCTAGTACCTTGGTGCCTTTTCTCAACAGCAAGGTTCCAAATACAGCAACTCTCTCACACAGCCTATTAATATCATTCCATTTTGAATATAGACAGTAGGACAGAGCAATGTCAGCCTGCTTGAGGAAAGGACATTTATGCCTATATTGTGAAATTATCCATCTGCAGCAAATATTAAGCTAACCAGGACCTCCTTTTGTGGAGAATCAATAGGTGATCATCTTAAACTAAATAGCAGTAGCACTTAGGCTGATATACTGCTTCACAGTGCTTTACAGCCCTTTCTAAGTCAGTGGTTCTCAACCTTTTTAATGCCGCGACCCCCAACTGGTCGTAAGTCGAGGACTACCCAACCAGTTGTAAGTCAAGGACTACCCAACTGGTCGAGGACTTTCCCTGCCCGGTGCCGCCCCCTGCGCCGGCCGAGCCGTAGCTGCCAAGGGGCAGTGACGGCACAGACCGACCACTGGCTGGGCCACCAGCTGGCCCAGCCCAAGGGAGGTAAGGCCCCCGCCAGGCCCCATGCGTGCCAGCAACCCTCTCTGCACCCGCCGGCCTCCCACCTCCCACCCCTGGCCCTCTTTTACTTACATTTTTAGTAGTTGCTGAGCAGGGAGGGGTGGAAGCTTCCAGACAGCTCGCCTTCGCTGCAAACAACTTGCAGCACCATTTGCAGAATGGGACTTTTGGCGGGCTCGGCAGGGCAGAGACAGCCTGGACAATTCCTATTGGCTTTTGAAAGCCAATAGAATTAGACTCTATTCAAGAGAGTCTATTATATTGGCTTTCAAAAGCCAATAGAATAAAAGGGAGTAGCACAGCTAAGGAAAAGGGGGGGGGGAAATGGTGGACTGTGTTGTTTGGCAACGCCCGTAAAATGGTCGTTCGACCCCAAATGGGGGTCGTGACCCACAGGTTGAGAATCGCTGCTCTAAGTGGTTTACAGAGTCAGCATATTGCCCCCAACAATCTGGGTCTTCATTTTACCGATCTCGGAAGGATGGAAGGTTGAGTCAACTTTGAGCCCCATCAGGATCGAACTCCTGGCTGTGGGCAGAGTTTGCCTGCAATACTGCATTCTAACCAATGTGCCACCATCACTCTTAAGGAAGATAGATGTCTTCCTGAAGTCAAAAAAGGCTTTGTTTTAAAAAGCACAGGAATGATACTGGAAATGAAATGGATCGTGCTTCTTAAATCTCTCTCCTCCTTCCCATTTTCCCTTGGGCTGACAAGCCCTGGGTGTTGAACTACAAGAAAACTCTTTACAGTTGTCATCTCATAAGGTTTGGTGTCTGCACTTTAAATTTAGCCTTCCCATAGCCACTCCAGCTACTCCAGGGAACTCACTGGCAGGGTGAAAAAATGCAAGCTTTATTGATGGATGGTTAGCAAGGGACAGATCAGTATGCTACTCTGCAGCAGCTTAGACACAAGGTTGCCGCTCTTATAGTCCTAAGGGCTGTAAAGGCCAAGACCTCGGTCCAACCAATACACCCTGACTGATTTATTATAACATACACACAAACACATACATATATCTCCCTCTCTCCCTTGTGTTCTAGAAAAGCTGCTTTGATGTGAATGATGGAAGTTCAGTTTCCACCGGCTAGAATCATTCATTTTCTTACCCCTTCCTGCCCCCTGGAGGCCTGGAAGAGCTACAACATCAAATGATTGATCCCCTGAAGCACAGCACCAAAGCCTGGAATTACTGCATTATCCATTAAGAAAATATTTCCCAGCATTTCCAGTTCTTATCTAGGGTTTTCCCAAGCCCAAAGGAAGTTACAAGAAGTCATTTCAATCACATAACAATCTGGTAAGGCAGACCAATGCTTTTCTCTCCTTTATCTGTTAGAAATGTGGTTAAGGCGCAACTTTTTAAAAGAATAGGGACCTAGTTATCTGATTTTTATCCCACCTTTTGTTCAAAAGCTCAAAGTGGCATACATAAAACTTTTGTCTAAAGCAACAACAACAACAATAATAATAAAGTTGGAAGGGACCTTGGAGGTCATCTAGTCCAACCCCCTGATGCTATGAGGTGGGTTAAGCTGAGAGAAAGAGTGGCCAAAGACAGCAAGTGAGGTTCACGTTTGTGGATAACCTGGGAACCTGGGAACCTCTCGGATCCCATTCAGCAGTATACAAAGAGGAGTAAAACAGACAATCCTAATCAGATGAGTTCCCATTTTCCCAGCACTTTATTGCAATTATTTTGCCTCAACCCTGTGGCATACTTCATTCCCCCACACCAAATTATTTCCTTCCTAGTGAAGAAGAGAGGAGCAATCACTTGGTGCCCTACTTTCCATCTCTATTCTGCTGCTTTTATGTAAAATGGCTTCAATTTGGAATAATCAAAGGCCACTTCCTATGGGACTACCCATGCTAATCATCTACGGCACGGGTGGGGAACTATGGTCCCTTTATGACCTATGGACTTCAGCTCCCGGAATGCTTGAGTCCACCCATGGGAGTTGAAGTCCACAGGTCATAAAGGGGCCATAGTTCCCTTCCCCACACCTGAACTACAGTATCGTTTCCAAAGGTTCTGCAAACTTCTGTGCCTTTTAATACATAGAGATATGTGATAATTGATTATGTGTCATCAACCCAGTGTCAAATCTTAACCATTACATAACTTTTTCTTCAGGATATTCTGTCCCCAACTTGGTCCTTCATGTCTTCCATTGATGCACCTATTAATAAGTCAATCCATCTTTCTTGCGGCTGGTCATCTCGATCTTTCCACCTTTTCCTGGGCTATAGATTTCCTAAGGGAGATATTCTTTGCATAATGTGTCCAAAATATGATAATTTGAGCTGGTGATGGCCAAATATGGCTCTTTTAGGCTCATGCCTCGGCATGCATATTTTCCAATGAGACAAACTGAGATAGGAAGATCTTTTTATTACAATTTATCAGAATATTCAGACAAAAGGGATTTCTCTCATTCAAAGAGGGAATCCTGATTTTTAGCTTACCACACCTTTTATAATTAGCATAACAAAGAAATATCCAAGAGGGAAGTTGGTTGGACAAGATAATAGTAACCTCCCCTTTGCATAGGAAATCAGTTACATGTGGTCAAGCATGTTACGAATTTGCATCCCATAGTATCACACATTAAAATGAGGTCTGACGTCAGAAGAGGCATAAATTATGAAGAAGGTGGTTGTTTAGAATTCACTAAAAAATAAACCACATCCCACTTTGTACTAACAAACTTTTTCTTATCTTCAGATAATCTTCAGTCTGTTTATCTCTTCAATTTAGGAATGTTAAAAACTATTCCTAAATTCCTGTCTGTATTGTACCTGAACAGAGAAAATAATCAATTTGAAGATTTATCTTTTCAGTTTAGGAATGTTAAAAGCTATCTAATCAATCTATACAACTATCCTATATTCCAATCTGTAATGAATCAACATTATTTTAAAAGAGAGAAAATGCATCAAATTAAAATACAAAATAACTGTTGTTAGTTAACAAATTACAAAATCCATGCCATTTGTCCCTCACTGGTCATTTGTGTCTCAGGTGAAAATTCTGGGTCGATTAGTTCAATGATCCATTGATTTGTTCTCTTGGCTGTCCAGGGTATACTTGAGTCTTCTCCAACACCAAAGTTCAAATGTCAATACTCTTTCTGTCTTGCCCCTTCTAAGTCCAGCCTTCACTTCCAGAGAATATTACAGGGAACATCACTGCCCACACAGTTCTGATCTTTGTAGATATAAAAACAACATGGTGTCTGAATATCTTTTCCAAGGCCTCCATTGCTATTTTACCAAGTGTGGTTGGTGACATATTTCTCGACTGTTGGTTCCTTTAGATAAGATAACCTTTATTGTCATTTTTTTTTACTGTGGGCACAACGGCACACATCAAAAATGAAATTTAGTTGCCCGCTCTCAAAGTGAAACACATATATGACACACACCTAAACATACTATATACGACATATGTATAGACCCACCCCCCTACATATACATAACAAATAAATATTAAACATTGTCCATCTTGAATATATA